ACCGCCGGCCAAATGGCCCCCGGCCCCCCACCGGCCCTCTTATATCCCGCGGCCTCTCGCGATAGGAGGAGGTGTCCCCCCGGGACACGGACATTGGCTGGGACCACCCCGATCCCGCCCCCGTCGGGGGGCGCGGGGCAGCGCCGCCATGTTCCGCTGGAGGGACGGCGAGGGCCACTGGGCTCGGGACGTTTAAAGGGCAAATTAAAGTTATCTGGTCGCTGCCGGGGAACGCTATGTCAGAGCATGTGCCTGCTGTATTAATAGCTCCCGGGAGGTACAGGAGGGGACTAAGGAAGCTGGCAGGAGTACCTCAGGCGACATTAACCGTTTCGTGCAGGGCAGAGGCTGGGATTGGGGGCCGAAAGCCTGCCCAGAGAGGTCTGGATGCGGTGACCAGTCAACTTGTTGACTGAATTCAACTCAGAGAGGCGAGAGTGCTTTTAAGCCTTGACTTCATGTGCGTGGATTCACACCACGAAGGGTGAGGGGGACATGGGTGCTGGACAGGCGCCCTGGTGTGGATGTCATGCCCTACAACAAAGGTCACCAGGGATGAATAGTCAGCTTGGAAGGTGGTGCAATAGCACAATGGTCATGAGCATCGGTAACCAGAAATGGGCTAGACCTCTCTGAGTCAAGGACAAAGAGAGCTGCTTCATGTTTGATACGCTGTGTGAACTTGCAGGCGTTGAGGTCTTTAAATACCCCGGCATGCTCCAGGAACCTGGCTTTCCTGAAGAGGAGATGACATGCCTTCCTGCATTGTACCCTCATTTCAACCCTGCAAGGTCAGACCCTCACAAGAGTCACAGTCAGTCCCCTCTGAAGGAGGGAGGGAGGGAGGGAGGGGAAGGGACCAGGGGAAGCACATGCTCAGGCACGCCTAAGTTGCTTGACTTGCACTGGATGTGAAAGAAGAGTAAAGGCTGTAGTGAAACCCTGTCTTCATTCAGTGTCTGGTTCCTACGGAAACGTTTGAGTCTCAAATGCAGATTACGTGGCTCCCTCACTAATTTCCCTGTTTCTCATCTGTTCTTTCTGACTGACCCCCATGAGAAAGCAAGGGCTTATGATTCACTGTTGGGTGACTTTGTTACGTGGAATAGCTGCATGAAAGCCAATGCAGCAAGTTGTAGATGCATACCTAAGAGTTTGCCTTAAAAAGGCATTAAGATGTGCCCCTAGGACAATCTTATACTGAGGAATGCATAGGGTAGTGGGTTCTGCTTTGATTTGGTAATATGGTATCAATAATGGAAATAGGATTCATCTTAATGTAGGTGCTAAAAGATTGGCTGTTCCACGAAGAGACATTTTCTTCAGGACAGCAAATCTCTTCTCACTGACGTGTTTGTTAGCACGAGTCAATGAGACTGTAAATTTGATCCCCCGTCTCTCTTGCCCTCTGCTGCTTTTAGGTCTGTTGAGGTAGAGGTCTTTTCTCATGAACCTCAGCTCTGGGAAGCAGATGACAGCTTTAAGTTCCAGGATCACCCTTTGTGCCTTGGCCATCCTGAGCAAATGGAGCCTTTCCCCAGCTTCTAAGAAAGGGGAAGAGAGCTCCCCTGAAGAGACCTTTTCCCTGAGCAAGGACCAAAAACAGGTGCAAGCAGGAAGCATGGGGGATCCCTAGAATTAGACTGTGAGTTGAGGGGAGTATTGTTTAACTTGTGTACCCTTGACCTTTCCTTTCTCTTCCTCATATTTCGCTCACCAGGTCTGGTATCTCCTCTTTTCACAGGAAAGTAAATACCCCTTTTTTAGGGGGGTATTGAGAAGTCTCAGGGCTTCTACTGCTGGTTTCATACAGACTGGTGGGATGGTGGTGCTCACAGTTGCTGCCCGACTGTCCAGACTGATAAGGTCTTCTCAGTGTGTGCACACAGGTGTCAGCTAGTGCCCCGCTGGCTGGTGTATGGTGAGTGAGAGGTGGGAGAGTGGCAGTGATATGCTACTGGGGAGGGAGGGGAGTGGGGGGCCTGGAGTGAGACTATGGGGAGGGGGGTCTAGCCTGAAAGGGTCTTTTGCCTGCCCCTCCCCCACCATCTTTGTTTGAACTCATTTAAATTGCTTTCTTTTAATCTGACATTTTTAGATCATTTAAATTGCCTTTTTTTTTAAATTACATTCTAATAAAGTCTTTATCATAAGAATTACAGTTAGTTTTTGAAGTTATTGTTGTGCATCATCATCCCACCACACAGAGGCTCTTTGGTTTAACAGGTATTTCTGTAGCAGTAATACTGTTTACCCATGACTGCCACTATTTAAAGAAAGCAGTGCATAGAAAGCGAATAGCCACTTTTTCTGCTTCTGTTCGCCCTTCCCTGAGCCCAGATGTCTACTTCCAGGAGATACTCGGCTTCCAAACAGTGTTAACAAAAGCAGGGCTGGACCAGGACATGTGTCCGCTACTCTGAGGGTTATTCTTCATTTTTTTGATTTTTGCTCCAAATGCCTGTTTTGGATCTTTCTTATGTATGACAATGAGGCTTTTTATGCTACTTACTGTAGGAGTTCAAATGTATCCTGTAAGGAACTTATTGCTAACTCCATCAGTACCACCAAACTTGAGGAAAAGCATTTCCACTAGCTGGAAATGTCATTAAAAAAAAGTGAAATGAACTTGAGCTTTTCATACAGTTAGTTGGTGTTTGGTGTTCTATATTCAGAATAGTTACTGATACTTTCGTAGAGAAATGGTTAAAACAGTTCTGAAAATGCAGGCTTTCCTTTCTGAATTATTGAAAGCCAGCTTTTAAGCCTCATCTTCCTTAGATCTTTGCAGCTTGGGAAGGATTAGCTGGCTTTCTAGGCTGAGTTTGTGGGTGCGCTGTACTGCTGACATAGCATAAAGACACTGGAATTTGTTCCTAAAAATTCTGAGCTAAAAATAATAACCTAGATCTACATTTTCAAAAGAGATTAGTGACTGACTGCATTGTGCTTTGATGTGTGAATAACCAGCTTGAAACACTACAGGAGATCAACTTTTACAAAGTAGTGTGTAGCCTTGTTTATTTGCATTTCCAAGACACTGGGAACCCTAGTGTTGAGGCTAGGCCAGACACAAAATAAAAAATCTTTTCCTCAAAAGTCAGCAGCAGACACAAGGGAGGGAGCACAAGGAATCAGTCAGACCATCCTGACTCCCAGCATAGACAGTGATGGGTAGACGGTGTACTGGCAAGATGCCAAGAAGAAATACATGGGTTTTTTTCAGGAAAGATTTGTAGTGTTGTAGTACATTCTCCTTGTGTAAGGTTGGTTTATGTTTGTGCTCAGGAGGAGGAGAGTAAGAGAGCCTAAAGAGGCTAAATGAGCATGAGAGTTGAGGGGAAATAAGAGGGTTGGTAGTGACAAAGATGATCAAGAAAAATGAAGGAGTTCGGGTTTTGAGTTTTGTCTTGGGCAGATATTAGTGAGGGTAGTTTTAGCTTGGTATTGTTACCTGGCTTAGGAGCCTACATTGAGCTGGAGAGGAGGAAAACTGGACAGTAAGTGTAAGCAGCACTTTGAGGAGGGAAGTGTTGGCGCTGGGAGTCAACATAGGGTATGTTTGTTTATTAGAGCATGTCTGTAATGTGAGGACAAGGAGTTGGAGGAGGGCCAAAATTTCAGAAGAAAACTGAGGAAGTGGATGAAAATGGGTATGAAACAGATCAGAATTTACGTTGTAAGAGGACAAGCATGGGGTGTAAAAGTAGGAAAGAAAAAATACCCAACATGTAACACAAGGAATAGACTTGCAGGAAGTGGGCAGTACCATGTTAATATTTCCTTTGGCAAGGATTTGTGCAGAAGATGTTCAGGAAGAGAGCATTTGAGAAGTGCATTAAAAGTGGTGAAAGGCAGCCAGGTCTTCAGTTAACTTGGAAAAGTAGGAGGAAAAGTTAGGAGGATGGCACAGCTGGGAGACAATCAAATGGTTGTGGATGAAGTAAACCTGATCACAGGCCAACCAGGAAATTGAAGCTGAAGGCAGACTGAGGTATGTGTTTGGCAACCAGACTTCAGAATTCATGAGGTAGGAGTGGAGAGTAAGAAACAGAGAGAATCTACAACCAAATCTGTGCTAGAGAAGAAAGATAAAGCAGGAGGAAGAGGGCTGAGATTAGATTGGATTTTATCGGTCTGATGAGATGAAAATCACGGAAAGAGCAAATGAGAGGACATGAGAAGGGACATGGCAGGTGAGGGAGCAGGTCAGAGAGGAAGGATGGGACAACAGAGATCAGGGGTAAAGCAATGGTTGCTGCAGACCACGTCAAAGGAATGGCTCTTCCAGGGAGTAGGACACTGAGTGAAGGGTGCAGGTGAAATGAACGGACCAGGGCAAGAAGATATACGGGGTGTATGCTATAGGGTGTCAGCAAGGACATCAGCGTGAAGCCTGGAAGCTTCATGAAGATGAGTGTGAGAAATTGTGAGGAAAGGAAGAGAGTCAATTGAAATCACAGAGGAAGGCTGATGAGGAGCTGGCTGGCTGGCTGGCTAACAATTCTTCAGAGGGGAAAACAGCTGAGATAATGCTCAAAAGCAGTTAAAAGCAGTGGTGATGGTGAGTGCAGCCCCAGTATGAGAGTAAGGGGTGGGATGGGATGAGAAATGGAGGTCTCTGTGAGAGACTGAAGCTGCAGAGGGAGAGTCAGACAAGGGGATCCAGGACATGTGGACACTGAGATTTAATAGGCCTGTGGGAAATATTTGAAGTGTATCTTCCAGCAGCAGCAAGTGAAGAGAAGGAAGGGGATTGGAATGGGCAGAAGGACGGAACGAGAATGCAAGAAGGGCTGACTGAGCAACGGTAAAGTCTCGAGAGAGTAGGGATGGAGAGGTGGAGGTGCGGCAAATGTCACTAAGGGCAAAAAGGAGGCAGAGTAAGAGGTAGGGCTTGGTGCCTCAGGTAGGTTGTTTAAGAAACAAGAATGAGCAGCTGAAGGAATAAAAATGGAGAGAGAAAACCAGGCTAGGTGGGGAGGGAAAACTGGAGGAGTACAGAAATAAGTTGCAGCAAGAGGGCAGGGTGAGAGATGTGGAAGAGTAGCCCACAAGGAAGGTTAACCAGGTTAGATGAGTCTCTGTAGTCTCCATTGCATGGTTTCTTCTTCATGCAGGTGTGTGGCCAGGCATGTTATACTTTTGACATTCCCTTTTGACTGAACTAGTAATGAAAATGTATGTGTTGACTGAATGTCTTCTGTCGTGTTAAGGATTGCCCTGGTGAAAGCAACTAACGTAAGGTTAATATATTTTTTCGATTTTCAGTGCTTCATTGACTTCACTAGTGGCTGCTCTGAGGTAGTGGGGGAGAAGGCAAAGGTCTCTGGAAAGAGCGGGGCATGGGAAACCAGGGAAAAAGGAAACAAATCAAGCACTAATCCTGCAGGATTTGATTCCTCATCAGAGGTTTATTTCACACAGTTTTCAGAACCTCAGTTTCTTGTTTAATTCTGTTGCAGTATCAGGTATGACAAGACTGCTTTGAGTCAGATTAGTCAAGCACTAACTCCTGCTACACTAGTTGTCTGAAGAATTGAAATCACAGTCTTTACTCTGAAATTAATTTCACTTCCCTGTAGGACTGTATAGGAAATACTTGGTACGCTGTGGACAGAATAACAATATTGCTAAGATTTAGAACTTAAGTAATTTTTCCTCATAGGTCTCAACATACCTTGAGAACAAAAATCGTCTTTTATGTCACAGGTGTGAATTACAGTAAATAATTAATGGATGCTGTAGGCTGTCATAAACATTTACAGTACTCTAGAACATCTATTCATTTTTTGATAATTAATGCATTCATGCCACAAACATAACAGTACACATTACAGATTATGGTAAACTCATTAATCGGAGGCACTGTGGACAGTTTCCAAGCTAGGGATATAAGCAAAGTAATGACCTGTTAGACTTGATAATAGTTGATTTACTATTTATGAACTCTTTTTTGGTAAATATATTTTTGATATCAAGTATAACTCATTATCCTCAGACTGTATTTTGGAAGAAAAGGCAAAGAAAAGTGAAGTGACTTGCTGAAGGTCATTCTGTCAGCATGTGGCAGAGCAAGGCATCAATGCAGGTTTCCTAGTTTTGCCAGATCTCTCTCGTACATGCTGTTTGTATATATTTTTTATTTTCCTTTCCTTCTCCACCTCTATTTTTTGATGGCTCAGGACAACCAGCTAAAGTTGGAAATTGAGCCAGAAGCAGAGAGAGTTTTATCAGCAGCAGGATCAGCTTGCTGTCCTAGTCTGGAACACAGCTTAGAGCTGAAGTGGTTGAAGTAGGAATCTGCTCAAATGCATGTAAGTAGGCAGATGGGGTAATGCACATCCTGAAATCAGGTTTTGTATTTAAACAACTGCTGTAAAAAAATTAACTTTGAACGGTAGTTTCCATTGCTTTATAAGTTGTTTCCTGTCCATTTTGATGTGTGCTGGTTTGTGATGCTCTCAAATAGAAAAGGTTAGCTGGCATAAATTTGTACGTTTCAGTTACCTAGTAACATTCTGCACAGGTATTAGTGCACAGTTGCATAGTGTTACACACACTACTTCGTTGTTATTACAGAATTAATTTATCCACACTGAACTGTGCCCTCACTCAATCATTATTCACGGGCAAGACCTGCTGAAGACAATAGAAAAGGGTCTCAAAATATGTAAGCTGGCAACGTAAGCTACTGCAATAATATGAAAAGTCAAGATCATATTTATTCCAATAATACCAGTAAAGCTTATTCAGAACAAGCATAAAGCAGAATTTGAAAGCCTACTTTGCAGCTGAAAGGAATATTGTACTTTTTCTTTTGGTGTAGATCTCTGCAGAAAATAACTTCTTTAGTCATTGCCAAACGTGCATCATAGAATCATAGAATCATTAAGGTTGGAAAAGACCTCTAAGATCATCAAGTCCAACCGTCGA